GAGGTCAGGGCTTTGTGATGGCCACTCCAATACCTTGACTTTGCTGTCCTTAAGCCATTTTGCCACAACTTTGGAAGTATGCTTGGGGTCATTGTCCACTTGGAAGACCCATTTGCAACCAAGCTTTAACTTCCTGACTGATGTCTTGAGATGTTGTTTCAATATATCCACATAATTTTCCTTCCTCGATAATGCCATCTATTTTGTGAAGTGCACCAGTCCCTCCTGCAGCAAAGCACCCCCACAGCATGATGCTGCCACCCCTGTGCTTCACGGTTGGGATGGTGTTCTTCGGCTTGCAAGTAACCCCCTTTTTCCTCCTAACATAACGATGGTCATTATGGCCAAACAGTTCTATTTTTGTTTCATCAGACCAGAGGACATTTCTCAAAAAAGTATGATCTTTGTCCCCATGTGCAGTTGCAAACTGTAGTCTGGCTTTTTTATGGCGGTTTTGGAGCAGTGGCTTCTTCCTTGCTGAGTGGCCTTTTAGGTTATGTCTTTATAGGACTCGTTTTACTGTGGATATAGATACTTTTGTACCCGTTTCCTCCAGCATCTTCACAAGGTCCTTTGCTGTTGTTCTGGGATTGATTTGCACTTTTCGCACCAAAGTACATTCATCTCTAGGAGACAGAACGCGTCTCCTTCCTGAGTGGTATGACGGCTGCGTGGTCCCATGGTGTTTATACTTGCGTACTATTGTTTGTACAGATGAACGTGGTACCTTCAGGTGTTTGGAAATTGCTCCAAAGGATGAACCAGACTTGTGGAGGTCTACAATAATTTTTCTGAGGTCTTGGCTGATTTATTTTGATTTTCCAATGATGTCAAGCAAAGAGGCACTGAGTTTGAAGGGAGGCCTTGAAATACATCCACAGGTACACCTCCAATTGACTCAAATGATGTCAATTAGCCTTTCAGAAGCTTCTGAAGCCATGACATCATTTTCTAGAATGTTCCAAGCTGTTTAAAGGCACAGTGAACTTAGTGTATGTAAACTTCTGACCCACTGGAATTGTGATACAGTGAATTATAAGTGAAATAATCTATCTGTAAACAATTCTTGGAAAAATTACTTGTGTCATGCACAAAGTAGATGTCCTAACCGACTTGCCAAAACTATAGTTTGTTAACAAGAAATGTGTGGAGTGGTTGAAAAAAGAGTTTTAATGACTCCAACCTAAGTGTATGTAAACTTCCGACTTCAACTGTATATGGTTGCACAAACCTGGGTTCCCTGAGTTGGGCTAAGCCAAAGCATCTGAGAAACACAACTGAATACCTGGCTGTCAAAGCCACTGTGAGAGGAAGAGGAAATACAAACGCATAACAGCAGGACAATTAGGTGTTAATCGGTGACAAACACAACGTCAGCTTTTTAATGATATTACAGATACGTAGTTATACCCAGCAGAGAAAACTAAAAGAAAGAGGCCCCTACCACTAGCAGAAGGGACATTCCCAAGTGTGCGGGTTAGTGTGATATATGGGCTGTTCCCTCCCCAGAATAATTGATAATCAAGGTTATATTTTCTCACAGCGGTCTGCCATCTTCAGCCACAGGACTCGAGACAAAGGGGCTCAGGTCAACAGCCATTTCATCCGTGACATCCACTGTGACCACACTTAAAATGTTTCCCCAATGAGCACACAAAAACACAATGCAAATCAATCAGAAAAAAACATAATAGTCAAGTAATTGCTCTGCTCATGGAGAGAGAGACGTACCCCCTTGGCCATCCCTCACATGCAACCTCAGCTCAGTTGGTGTCATCAGTAAGGGGGGGGTCGAGTTGGGCAGAACAGGAGACGGGCCACACACTGCGCTTAGTTTTTCAAAAATGCCACAATGGCATTATCTACACACTGGCCAACCAGGAAGAGCTGAGGGATTAAGAGAAATTAGACATAACAGTTACTGTGAGTTCTGACTGTCCATTTACAAACACATACAGTTCATACACACATAAAGAGTGATAGAGAGAGAGCGGGCGATAGAGAGAGAGAGAGAGAGAGACACACACACACACACACACACGGCTAACCAGAGGAATGGCGAAACTGATCACTTGTGACGAAAATGGGATGCCCCTGCTGGTAGTCATCGGTGGTCAGTGGCGCTGACAGCCCTACACTTTGGAAAGATGGCCTGGGCTTTGGTGTGCTGGAGCAGTTATAGAAGAAGGCACAACACATTTCAGGTCAAGACAATGATAATGCTGTAATAAGGGACATATAGCAAACACAAAAAAAGCTATCAATTAAGATTAAAGTCTATGTCTATGACACCTGGGCATAAATCCTAGCCCGGATGAGCAGTGAGGCAGACACACACAGTGACTTAGGACAGCAGTCTGTGTCATTCTTATTACCACACAGGAGCAGGCTGTGGTTCAGACTCAGCTGCACTCGCACACAGAGGCAAGAGTTTGCCAGGAGACAGAAATTAGGCAGTTAGCATTATTGCCATGAAGTAAAAATCTGAATGGCATCAACCATTTTATGTCTTTGTGTGTTGACAAGCCTTATTGGTTGCTACATATTTTATGACTAATTTAATTTAAGCCATGGTTTGTGGTGCTGAAAGGAAAGTCCTGCTACTTGGCCAGATAGAGATAGCAGCCCTCTTTTTGATAGCAGTGGTCAGGGTGTACTCTGCGGTGCTGAACAACAGCTACCCAATTCAATCAGTTTAGCTCTATAGAACTCTCACTGGTGAGAGCAGATGGTGGGCAAGGTGTGTGACAAACTCCCGTGAGTCAGAAAGTGTGAGCATGATGGGGGTGGAAAGCGACCTGTCAAAATGAACCCAGAGGGAAATACCAGATGTGTTTCCAAGCAGGAACGCCGACAATCTAGGTCCAGATGTGTCGAGATATGACGGCTGAAAAACTAGAAAAAGGGACTGATTGATTGATTGGTGTTACCCAGGTAACTAGCCAACGTTAGCTATCTAGCCTTAACAGTAGTGGGCCATCCATCAAGTTACGTTAGTTGATTGATGGGACATTTCTAAGAGTTGAAAGACTTACCGACATTGCTCTTTGCATCCGTAATCAAAACAATCAGAAGTATGCATGCACATCGACATAAAGCAGATGCAGGTGGTGTCGACAGTATATTAGCCATTGCTGAAAATATCTGTTCACCAGGTAGTAGTCTTCTATGGTATATTGGCGATCGCACAATTTCATGTGCTGCCCGCCACTTACTGTGCGGGATGGAAACAGGATTCCCAAAAATGGAACTAAATAAATTAATATATATGATCCCTACACAAGCTCAAGGGCAACCTAGGAGGACGGGTCTTCCAGCTCCAGTACCCCTTGCAAGTCTTCATATGTAAAATATTTAAGTCCCAAAAACGTTTCTGCCGCAGCCACAATAATGTCCAGTTTCTTAGACATCTTTGAGACTTGTGCCGTACGGTTTATGACTGTGGTAATATACGCCACAAAATCCACCTTTTAACACACAGGGTATATTTTGACTGGCAGCAAACATGTACTACAGGCTGTGGTACGTCCACAACCATATCTTCACTAGCGTCACTTGTTTCTCAATTATTTTAAACGCCTCCGCATAGGAGATTCGATTGACTGCTCTAACTTTTGCCACCTCTATCTCCTTCACTCTTACAGGACACTCCAGGAACTCGGGATCATGATCACCACCACTGTCCTTCTACACACCGTTCTTCAATATACTCTGTCCATCTGCACAGACTTTAAACATGGCCAAATCCTTTACAATTCTTACACTGCAATTGTTTGGGGGACGACAGCTCTTACAGCGTATCATACATAACCAAGCTTCACATGCGTAGGTATTTGCTCTTTATAAAAATAAAAAACCGGACCGACAGACTTTCTTCTTTTTCTCCATTCACCCAGCAGGTCAGACGCCGGGCACCGACCGACCACACCAGGAATTTTCTTCAGATATTCAACCTGAACATCCGTCGTCACCCCTGAGATTACTCATTTGACGGGTATCTACTCCGAAGTTCAAAACACAACACTTATGTTGTTCGGATTCTTTTGAGGCTCACTGCAATATTCCTCTGTTCTTCAGAAATACGATTAATCAAAATAAGACCACTCCTGGTAACCGACAGACTCCGCTTTTCCCAGCGCATACTTCACCATTTTCGACACCTCAAACGGGTTTCCCACATATGCATCCTTACTCAACAAACGCATCCCAACAAGAAGCGATTCATTATCATTCATACACCTATCTTCCACTCCAATTTTAGACAATTTCCTTTTTGTTCCAGTTTTCGCTAATACTGTTGTCCATTCAATCATTCGTCTTCACCAACTTTGCTCAACGCGCTGCTTGATTCGAACTCAGCATCGGCTTCCTCCAACTTTTTCCTGAACCGGAATTAACCGTAGTCCTCCCCGGAATCGAACTGCGAGCCTTCCAAAGATTTATATAACTAAACCTCATTGTTCTATCTGTGAACCTTCCCTACAACCTGCAGTAGAGAACACAATAGTTCCGCCTCACCAGGGAGTCACCATTTTGTAGTCACCAAAGTGTTGTAGAGAGATGTCTATGGCAACGACATATCAACCAATCACAGTTTAGGGGATTACTTGCGCTCATGCTCCAGAGCTACTACTGAGACAGCCAACAGTGACCCTCGTGGGGCTGTTGTGTACTACGGAAACAGAAAAGAAAATCATCATCATCTGTTATAGCTAACTTCTAGAAGCAAATTTGCAACATGCACAATTATATAGACTCTCTGCATGCACCCTAATTAATTGACAACAAAACATGAAAACAAAAGCATAATGTAATGTCACAAAGATGATTTGCTGACCCAATGCATACTCCTATACACTAGATGGCGATAATTCATCATACGCTGTTCTGTAACGACTCAACTACAACAGTAGAGTTAGTTTGACAAGAAAAACACGAGGAAGCATGTTCTCTTTCTTTCCAGGGATAATTTTAAAACAAACTTTAGGAATTAACAAACAATGGTGCCTGTTGTATCGGTCGAAGATCAGATGAAAGCTGTACTAGACTGTGTGGTCACTGAGGATAAAATACCCACAGATGTCAGCACTACGTTAAAGCTTTTCATAAACAAACTTGATGAGTGCTCAAGGTAAGTCTGGTTGACAAGTGCTTAATGTATTTTATTCATTACACCGATTCTGTTACAAAACGTTTCTTAAACGGAAGCAAACGGAACGAAACGGGAAGGGACCTACCTGCATTTGTCCAATAGAAACTCTCGTTTTGCTCTGATGCTTCCGTTTGGTGCTTAAACGTTAACTGTTTCCATAATGAGTACACCCCTGATGTTGTTATGACAGTGCATGTTTAGCCTCCCTGTATGTGAATTAATGTACTACTGCCTCTGCCAAGCGATCTGGGCTTTCATGGCACAGGTGGTAATGCATTCACACCACAATAACCACAGGGTTGTTGACTCAAGCCCTGCAGCGATTGTTCTCTCTCCATCACTACATTGGTGGCAGCAGTTCTCCCTGCTGTCTCTCTGAGTTATTGGTTCAAGCTCCACTCCGACTGTTCCCATTTCCAACCAATTAGTACTCATTCATTGTTTACCGTTTGTGTCACTCTCATCTTAATGGCATGTTTGTCTCTGAACAGGAGCAGCATAAAGCGATGCAAAGAGCGCAGTCTGGAGGAGGCAGGCCAGCTGCTGAGGAAGATCCCAGTGAAGCAGCTCCAGTGTTTAGAGGAGAAGCTCCTCCTGTCACTCATCAGGCTACTCGTCGCCATGCAGATGCAGATGTTTAACATCGCCAGTCGCAAATTAGACCAGGTCCAGAACAAGCTCTTTCATCTAGAAGTGATGTTTTCAATGCTGAATAACTAAAGTGCTATTCTGAATATGTATTTGATCATGCCATTACAGATGTTGCAACATCTGGCGGAAGTCAATCGTTTTCTGGTTTTTCGAGAAATCCACCACTGTTTGTCCACCATAGTGGGAAAGGAACAGGTATGTGTCAATTGTTCTAAAAAGAATCCATGGTTAGAAGTATTCTTTAGCAATGCAATAATGTTTCAGCATCTTTCCTTTTCAGGCATTATCAATTGGGGACCTCCAGAGAGGTTAGTTGTGGATTAGAATCATCTTGAATTGTTCTTTGTTTTAGTGTGAGTGGCATTGTCAATATGAACTATTATATTTTTGGCCTAATTTTAGGTGCCATGTTATCTCCTCTGTGTGATTTGTGTTTGCAGCCTGCATGTTCCTGGAGGACAGCTCTATTGGTCGTGAGCTGTGGAGAGAGGCCTGCCCTTCCTTGATAAATAAAGTTGCTGAGTTATTCCCTGTAATATTGGAGCAGGAGGGTTTGAGAAATGGCCCACTGTGTTACCAAGCTGTCAAGGTAAATACTGTATATGCACTTTATCAACCTTTAACTTCCTGGCTCTTGTCTCATGTTAACAAAATTGTACTTGTCTTTTTTCATTTGAAGCACCGTTCAGAAGACGTCTTGTCACTGAATTGACCTGTGAGTTGGCTGTGTTAGTAGGTGTCTAACTGATCTGGGACCTGTCCCTTCAGGTGTGTTTGCAGGTGTTTCAGCTGTTGCCAGGTGAGGTGGCCCCTCTGGTGTGGGAGAAGGAACAGGGGAGTTTGGCAATGCAGAGGATCCTACAGTCTCTAATGGACATCATCCTGGGACAGGTCTGTGTTTTACAACGATTCAGGTTTGCCAGTCTGTTCTCCCTGATGTCCCTCCATGGTCCAGCTCTTACTCTTACTACACGGTCCTTTGTAGCTCAATTAGTAGAGCAAGGCGCTTGTAACACCAGGGTAGTGGGTTCGATTCCCGGGACCACCCATACGTTAAAATGTATGCACGCATGACTAAGTCACTTTGGATAAAAGTGTGTGCTAAATAGCATTTATTATTATTATTATTATTATTATTATTATTATATTACTTGTTTCCTCTGTGTGTGGGCAGTGCTCCAACAGGGACACCCGTCTCCTGGCTGGGACCACAGTGGCCATGCTGATCAACACGGTACTAGAGGGAGGGGAGGGAGGAGCAGCTGCCTGGAGTCTGCTACAAGTCACTCACTCAGGTACACATTCAAGGACTTTCATATTGTTGACATTGTATGTTGACTTTTATTGATTACATTCTATATTGTTTATTGTTTACATTCCAAATCACCACAACACATATGAAGGATTTGAACCATAAACCTATTCATATAAGGACTGTGACGATTAAGTGTTTTTTTAATGCCACTGGTTGATGTGTGTTGCTCAGAGCCCTGGCAGCTGTGTGTGGGTGGTCTCCAGGTGCAGTGCAGCCCCCGGGCGCAGGACGGAGTGGACAGACTGGCCGTGAGCAGGGGTCTGCTGACCTGCTGTAGAAGGGGCATCCTAGTCAGTCAGGTGGACACCACAGGGGTATGTCTCACAGACTGCTCATGCTAACTGATATCTTCTTCATTCGTTCTTATGAAATTCTCCTTGGCCAATTTAGAAAATGTCACTTGTCGTTTCTGATTTAGGGTTTTCTATCTATTGTTTCAGACTTGTCTACTCCTGGATGGTTTGTTTCCTTTGGTCTCTGCTCTGTGTGAGGAGAAGCTTGACTGTCACTACTACGTCTTTGAAGGTACTGTAAAACAAAACCAGTGTGTTTCTGTACGTGCAAACGTAATGAAATTAAGAAAACCTGAGAATCAAATCAACGTTTATTAAAACCTATGTCTGATGGCAGTGTTAACACTGTGGCTGAAGAGTGTTAAGGAGAGTCTAGCTGAGATATGGGAGGTGACCAGTGCTCCCCTGCTGCCTGATGACTCTAGCCTGAGACAACAACTCATCCAGGTCATCTGGAACAATGCTGAGAGTCCAGTAAGTTTCCAGTCATCTCCTTATCAAAGTAATGGTGTAATAGTATATTAGTAACAATAACATCCCATTTCTCCTAACACATTCCCAGGTCGAGGGTGTGTCAGAGGTTGTGCGCAGTGCGTTCTGCCTGCTGCTGGAGATCTATGAGATGGACTGCCAGCGTTTTGGAGACACACAGAAGAATCTACACATTTCCTTACTGCACCGCATAACCAAACTGCCCTGGGAGGCCAAAGCCAAATACTTCCCCCTCTGTTCACTGCTCCCCTATGTAGGCACTGACTTGGTGAGGGTATACAAAGTAATCTTAACCTCTGTCAAAGTGTATGTTCAGTTGTGGAAATTGTGATTATAATTCATTTTCCGTTAACCCCTCAGGTGCTGGAGCAGTACTCTGAGCTTCCCAACCATCTCCTGAAGTGCATGTCCACCAATTATCTGTCCCCATGTGCCTCAGAGCTTTACAAGTGTCTGATCCAGAAGCAGAGACGGGAGCTGTGTGAGGAAGTGGCCCAGGATGCTCCTCCCTTGGAGCTGGATCTGGCCAATCAGTGGGCCAGGCGTTGGCGGTCCACTCTGCTGGAGGCCTTGACCTCTGACGTGACCCTTCTTCAGAACAACGTCTCCAGCCACTTGCTGCCCTGGACTCTGCGGGTCTTCCCCTCTGCTGTGGAGCCCCTGCTGGCCCCTCTAGACCCTGCCTCTCCAGGGCACCTCCATGCCTGGGCCTGTGTGATGAGTGCCCGCCGAGCGACTTATGGAGGCTCCCCCTGGGCCCTGGAGAGTGGCTCTGCCCTGGAGACCCTCCATCTCGCCCTCGGATGTGTGGACGATAGAGTCCGCCTGGCCGCCCTCAACCTGCTGTGCTGCAGCCCAAAGACCAAAGAGAGCCCGACGCCGGAGGAGCTGTCTACCATGAGGACCTTCATCCCCCAGAACCTCAACAGTGAGTCGTCACCGTTCCGCCAGCACCTCCAGGCGGGGGTGAAGAGGTTTCTGGTCCGGATCCGAGACAGCTGCCTGGCCCACCTCAGAGGACTGAAGGGAAAAAGAGACGGTGGTGCCAGCCTCACAAAGGAGACAGAGATGGCACTTGATCAGGGAGTAGGTGAGAGCTGTGAAAGTTTGAAGCACTAAATAATGGTTTTAAAATGTCTTTCCTTGTCCCGTCTAGCTGTGAGGTGCAATTTATTAATATCCTATTTATGCTGATCATTGTAGGGTTTGTGGACTGGCTGTCCCAGCTGCCCTTGTCCTATCTGGCACCAGGACACAGCTACCAGAGGAAGAAGACTGTCCTGCTGCTGCTGTCTGCTGTACTAGAGACGTGCACAGACACCTGGAGCCCAGACAAGAAGAAGGGCCAGCCCCCAGGTCAGTAAAGGGGGCATGAGATGGTTGACTCTTCATTCTGGGGCTTTAAAGCCTGTATGAAGCTAATTCCAAAAGGTTTTTGTTCACTTTCTGTAGTTAACATGGCCTCTTTGATCAACTGGGCAAGGCTGAGAGGATGGTGGGATTTCTTCTCTAGATCAATACAGCTGGTCCTTATTGGCTGTTTAGAGGATTCCACCAATGAGGTAGACTTAATACTTATGTTACAAATTCATTTTTGTATTTTTAATACATTGTGAGTGACAGAAGGATAAGTGAAATAATGTATTTTCTCTGCTCTATTTTCTTCCTATGTAGATTCGGGAGCTCTCTGCAGGGTTACTGGTGAGATTTTTCCCACCTAGTTTTCTGGAGGACATTACTCCTGTGCTGTTTGGCCGAGCAGAACTGCTCCTCTGCAGTCCCCGTGTGCCGGAGGCTCAGATGGGAGCTCTGATCATGAAGGTCCTCCTCCAGAAGTAAGTAGTGCTTAATTTATACACCCCCTGTACCCAGAGTTCTGGTCCTCTAACTCTGTGTAGCATAACCCCCTCTCTGAAGGTCTGGAGGTCAGTCTCATGTGCCCTGGCTGGACAGCCGTATCAACTACGTCAGTTCTGGGGACTCAAAGGCCTCTACTCTGGTCAGGTATCTACTCAAGGAACTCGAGCAGCATTACCTGATTGCTAAGGATGATATGATGCTTGCTGCAAGGACCAAACCCATACATGGTGAGACCTGTTGCATCATTGCTATTTCACAAAATGTAATTTTGCAGATATCTAACAGCTTATAAATATAAACATGTTGAATTCCAAAGCATTTGACATTGCAACCTTATTTGAGTGATGTATTTGTTTCAGGTATTTTGACTGCCCTAGAGAGGTGTATACTAGAGGTACCTAACACCCTGTGTGATGTGGTCGATCACAGAGTGACCATAGAGATCCTGGTTCTCCTGGAGAGGATCACTCTGCTCCTCCTGGGTGTGCTGTATGGAGACCAGGACGCCTGCGGTGATGAGAAAGGTATCACCAGTAAAGAGACATCATAAAAGAGAAGATCGGAGAAGGAGAAGGGTAAAATTGATATGGAATGGTTGTCTCACCCCGCCCTTGTCTTTTCCAGATGTACCCCCATCTTTCTGTGACATGGGGAATGCCATCACCTCTCTGATAGGCCAGGTGGCAGGAGAGGACCAGGGGGAGGGGGATGAGTGTGTGCTGCTGTCTGAGGAACACAGCCTGGTCCTCACCTGCTGCTGGGTCTCCCTCAAGGTACTCTACATAAAACCGATCAACACTCACACTGACCACCCGGCAACACATTATAACAAATGTTCAGCACCACTAGGAAATACATTCTGGCCTTCAATAAGTATTGTTATGTTTTCCTCTTCAGGAAATAGGAATCTTTCTAGGTTCTCTGGTGGAGAGAATCCTTGCTCAGGCCAAACAGACAGAATCCTTTCTAACTTTAGAAGACCTGAAGAGGGCCTCTAAAGTGTTCAAGAACATTCTTCTCAAATGCCGCCACTGGGTAAGAAGGACATAACATCCATCTATGGGTCACAACTCAAAGCTTCTTGTCTCATCTTCAGTCCTGACATACATGTTTCTATCCCCCAGGGGGCAGTAGAGGGCTGCTGTGTGGGCTTTACCAGGTTCTGTGCCTGTCTCCTGAGCAGCAGTGACCCAGAGCTCAGGGATATCCCAGCACACATGCTGAAGCAGGTAATCTCTGACCCATGCCCTTTTGAGGGACTCATCCACACCGCACACAGGGCTATCATGGGGTAAAGGTTTCTGTAGAGTATGTTTTAGGTCCAGGCCAGTGATGTACCTTATCATTCTCTGCCAATTCATATCTAATTTTACCTGCAACAATGAAGCTATGTTGCATGCATATTTAGCTAGTATGGTTAAACTGTGTGTGTGCTAACTGATATGGGGTTTTCTCTCCAGGGGCTAGAGGTGCTGCAGTCTCGCTGTACGTCAGTGACCCGGCGGGCGGCAGGGCTGCCCATGCTCATCCTGTGTGTTGTGTCAGCAGAGGAGGCCAGTAAGGCCCGGCCCCTCCTGGCCCACAGCATTCACACCCTGCTGGACACAGCCAGGTCCCCTCTGCCCCAGGAATGGGACCAGACGCTGGACCTGCCACAGGTAATACACATCATGAATTCACCAAATGTTAGCCAGATATACACACGCACGTACACTACTTCCCATGAAATATACACATGCACTACATGTACATTACCTACCACGAACACAGATGAGATGCACAGCCATCGAGATACACACATGCCAATAGGATACTCAAGTCCAGGTCAGTTAGCATGCTGTCTAATGTTGGCTTTCACCCTCCTCTCCTCCAGGTGTGTGCAGTCCACACCCTGCAGGCCCTGGTACGAGGCTCTGGGCTGGGGGTGGCTGTGCTGCAGTTTGCCCCGGCTGTGGCCATCCTGTCCCTGACCCTCCTCAGCTCCCCCTGCTGGGCCATGAGGAATGCCTGCCCTGCAGCTCTACAGTAATAAGACAATCTCTCCTCTCACTACTGTAATGCACACACTGTGGACAGAGTCAAAGCTCAGGTTTCAGTGTAATTTGTATTCTCTGAAACTGACCAGCTCAAACATTAGATTATATAGACCGGGAGAGAATCCATTTGGTGCACTTGCGCGGTCTGCTCCAATTTCTTTCATGTAGCTATCAGACATGCATGTTAAATTATTCATTTGTTATTGTGCTCCCTCTGACTGAACCCTGTCCCATGCACAGGCTCTCTGTGCTCAAGGTTGCTGGGTCAGCGCTCTGGAGGTGAAGAGGGCTCCACCCAGCATGGCATGTCTCCCCCCGCCTTCTTCACCCACTACCCTGCCCTGCAGCCCTTCCTCCTGGGAGAGTTGAGGGGGGCGGCAGAGGACTTGCAGTGTCCCTCTGGGGAGGCCCGGCTCCGCCTGCACCCCTCCCTCTACCCTGTCCTCACCCTCCTGGCCAAACTCCAGCGAGGGGTCCAAGACCAAACAGGGTGATTACTGTTTTCATGTCATTGTTTAAATTTCATCAAACAGTCAAGCTAAAGAATCCCTTCATAGCTGCATCTACTCAATGAAGCAGGTGATTATGTGCATGGACCTGTTTAAGGATAACAAACCTGTATTCATTTACAGTGTTCTGTGCATCTCCCTGCAGTATGTAAACTGGTCCATGTAACCTTTGTTCCCAGCAGGACTCTGTCAGACTTCCTGATTCCACTGCTCCAGCTGGCTGCCAGTCCTATCTACAGTGTGAGGGTCATGACCTCCAAAGCCTTGGTTGCCATGACGCCCCCCTCCCAATACGTGAGCACCCTGCTCCTGTTGACAGGAGAGCTGCCGGAGCCCCAGGACCCCAGCTGTCACAATCGTCTGCATGGACAGCTACTGCAGATCAGAGCCATCCTGGACAGGGGTCTATGCACACAAAGGTGAGGGTTTACAGAATGGAAAACAAACAGGGAAGGATTCTATGGAGGCCATAGAGATTCTATAATTCATGTTCTCTTTATTCTGTGATTAAGGCGCTGTCAGGTTTTGTAATTTGTGTTATTTCCCCAGTCCTCCCCCAGATGCCCTTTGTGACGTGGTGGACCGTGTAGAGTCCAGACTGTGGTTGGTGACAGGGGCTCAGCACTGCCCCCTGGTGCGTGGGGCCTACCTGGGTGTGGCAGGCCTGCTGAGGGGGCTCTGCTCTCAGGGGTTCCTCCACCAGATGAGGGATGTGCTCCTGTCAGAGCTCCACTCACCACACCAAAGGCTCAAGGTACCCAACAGACCCTGTCTTTCTCACACACACATGTGCACACTCTCACACACACACACACACACACACACACACACACACACACACAGTTCTTATCCAGAGATACTTTGTCATGATTTGTTGTCATCTTCATCATCTTGGTATGTTCTAACTGATATCAGTGAGGTTGTGTTAGCCACACCACCATACTTAAGGTTTATGGCATGCCATTTTACAGGTTGGGTCCGCCTCCTTCCATCAGAACGCTATCCACTTCCTGTGTGCAGAGCCCAGGTGGGCTTGCCAGGTGTGGGGGAGTTTCTCCACAGAGAGCTCCGACCTGAGGCTGTCATTGGTCAGTTGGGCGGCGGAGAGGCAGAGATGGAGTGGGACCAGCATGCAACAGGTGCTGCAGACGGCACTGCAGGTGAGACATGAACACCCTGTCTAGACTAGAGCTTGCTGGGAAAGTCACCCTGTCCAAAACCTACCAACAGTTTTAAACGATTCGTTTTCAACATACAATATGAGAAATTCAAGGCACTAAAGATATGTTTGACTTTAAACACAATGCTGCATGGGGCTGAAATCAAGCTGAGAATCTTTTTTTTCCTCATGAAAATTAATGGGTGTATCAGCTCACAGATATTATATACACTCATTTAACAGGGTCAGGGAAATCTGAACTAGACCAATACAGTCAAGGATATCCATCCTTTTTCTCTGCTGTGTTATGATGTATGAGTACTTTTGGGTGTCACCAAAAATGTATGGAGTAAAAGGTACACTATTTTCTTTGGGAATGTAGTGAAGTAAAAGTTGTCTCATCAATATGCCTGTGTCAGTGCCCCTGTTTTATACCTCTTTCAGTTTCTGGACAGCAAAGTGTTCCCACCTATTGGCTACCCTTTAATGACGCCACATTCCTGATTTGACAATGGTGACCTGACCATGCTGTGTTTTAGGGGAATGGTGTTTAACATTCCTCTCTGTACTCAGGCCAACCTGAAGGAGGCGCTGTTGGACCAGAGTGTAGAGTACAGGAGGACATATCTGACAACCCTAGTGGCAGTGATGACTCCTGGGGCTGACCCTACTTTGTCCCAGGAGCCCTCCCCTTCTCCCCCCCTGGAGGGTCTAGTCCTGCTGGAGTGTGTGGAGCTGCTTCTGGGGGCCCTGGAGGGCCACAGAGGGGGGCCAGAGTTCCTCTCCCAGGCCTTGTGTGCTGCCAGCCTGCTGCTCTCCCAAAGGTCAGGATACAAAATTCTGCACAGCGCACTCCTCTCTGTTTTCTCTGTTAATTTACTTTACAACAACAAGTCATTATTGTGTCAGATCCACAAAAAACATACTGAACATTCACACTCTTTTTCTTCTTCCTCTGTCTCAGTCTTCAGACATCTCTGTTCCCTCGGTGGTGCAGTCTGTTGGAGGTCCACCGGGGGCCGGAGGCCCCTGAGGCTCTCAGGATGGCCTGTGCCTGGGCCCTGTGTCATGCTGGGGCCCCCTTACTGAGCACGGCCCTGAGGGACCACACTCCTCTCCCTGTCTTCAGCACTAGGTAGAGATCTAGAACAGGGACGTAGGTTAAAAAGTAAAATACTGTATGCATACTGCATACTGACCTTGTCACAATCTACTGCTGTTTGTCTCACGTCATAATAATAATGTCCTCTCTGTTTTTCTTCCTATGCAGGTTGATCAACACAGGGCTTTACCTGCTGCAGGATGAGAGCCAGCAGGTGAGGATAAAAGCGGCCGGTTTTGCCTCCACACTCTGCCAAGCCAGGAGAGGAGGAGGGGAGAGGAGCATGTACCTGATGCAGGTCAACCAGGCTCTGCCCTTCCTGCTGGAGCTGCTGCTGGAGGAATGCTGGGATAGTCCTGGTGTCCTGGAGGTGTTGCTGTGTCACCTGCCCCAGTCTGACCTGAGCTCAGTACTGAGGGAGGCCAGGGACACTGGGTGAGTCATCACACACACAGGTAGTCAACAAACTCATGACATGTAGACAGGGTATGTCTTTTGTTTTGTTTGTTGTTCATCAATCCCTCTCTGTTCCACAGGTGTGCCAGTCTCTATGAGCAGGATGAAGCCAACGTATTTGCAGAACCGTCTGTGATGTCAGCATGTCTGCTTCCATACCTGCTTCAGCTTGCTGAAAAGTACCCAGCATCCTCAGTGGTGGTAGAACGCCTGGGTGTGTGGGCCAGGGAGAATGTTACAGACCTGCTGGAGAACCTCCGGGTCTGTAAAGACCTCCAGCCAGGTAACACACAGGCCAAGGACCACATACTTACTGATTGTGTCTGAAAGCTACAGAATGAGTATGGTTACATGCACATAATAATATGATTATTGTGGATAGACATTAATATAAGTTTGTTTAAAATGTTTACATGCTTTGCAAGAAGAACGATTTCCCTAATAATCATGTTTACATGGGCACATCTGAAATCAAGCTACCTGAGGAGACTTAAATAAATGCTGAAAATCGCCAATGAAAATAAACGTTCTACCACAGCGACCACGTTATTTTTGCGAAGCCTATTTGAGTTCGGGCATATAAAGTTTGTATGTGAACCATTTCTAAGATACTCGCGCATAAGAGGGAGGCTTGCGCTACCGGTGCTGGCACATGTTCAGATCGAATACACCGCTGGAACACCGATTTTAAGCTGTTTACATTTCCCAATAACTTGAACGATTGCTCTGAAAACCAGGTGTTTTAAGCAGCGTATGCTTACTCTGATTTTGACCTCACGCCGATTTTAAGATAAACAGAGTAAAGTGTTTACTTGACTATTGCCATACTCGGCCTACTGCCGTAATCAGTTTAATATCTAATTATTAGTGTGCATGTAAAGTACTGAAAATGTCTTGGCTGAAAGTATTATGTGAGCTTAAAGGGATACTTCGGGATTTTGACAGAGGCCCTTTATCTATTTCCCCAGAGTCAGATGAACTTGTGGATACCATTTTTATGTCTAATTTTTATGTCTCCGTATGTAAGAAGTTAGAGGTAGTTTCGCAAGCCAATGCTACCTAGCATTAGCGCAATGACTGGAAGTCTATGGGTATCTACTAGCATGAAACAAACATTTGACATACAAATGCTATCCACAAGTTCATCTGACTCTGGGGAAGAAGATAAAAGGGCCTCATTGCCAAAATCCCGAAGTATCCCTTTAACTGTTCTTCCATTCTAGGTGACACCCTGGACCCGGCCTGGTTGGCTCTTCTCATGGATTCTAGTTTCCATGGCGCCCTGTGTGGCCTGTGGGCCAGGGCAGCATTCCTCCTGCGGCTGCTAGAAATGTCTGATGACCTCCGGCCCCTCTGTGATCCTGATAGTTTACGTAAGAACATCCAGGAAGTTAACTGTGTGCTCAGCCAGAACGGTGTCCAGTTGCCTGCTGCCTTTACTGCAGTTCTGACTAGAGACCTGCCTTGATGATACAGTAGTCTGGTCCACACTCTGACAAAAGATTGCCTTAGTACTCCTCTTTGACGATCCAAATTAATGAATCCATGGATGCTGCATGAATGCCTACGGCAGCTACAAACAACGTGTGTAGGCTTTGAATGGACTCTCTCTGCAGCTGCTGCACTACAGTACAGTAGCATTTTGCAGGCAGGCTTTCAGATTAGTTATGTACAGCCAGATGAATGCAATGATCAGATTACTTACTGCTGCTGATGAGGCCTGCTAAGTATTGAACAGCTATAGAGAGCATCTCCTTACACCTACTATGACTGAACTGAGTGTCTATACTGATCCAAAGAGCCTCTTAGAACATTTCAGTTGACGCTATTGTTTATTTTATTTACAATGTGTTAATGCATTTGCATGTCTGTATAATCATGATGCAACCATGATGCAAGTAATTTTGTATGGTTTTAAAGGATAAATGTTTAATTCTATAGATTAAATAATCTATTAAAGTGGGGTTGTCCTCTCTTTCCTGTAGTCTTTCGTGTTTAGGATGTCTTCCTTTATCTGTCTCCCAACATTAAATCCCTCTCAGCTGTGCTTGACTAGACTGTGAACAAAGCCTCTCTGTGTGAATTCTCCGACCGGTTCCAACTGCCTCCGACCACTCCTGGTATATCTGTCATACCACCAGCAGCCACAGTAAGGCACCCCCTTCATTCTAGTCTACAGTAGGCTACATTGCCTTTTCTCCTCTCCTGTTCATCTTTCCATATTAGCCACGTGATGTAATGCCAGCAGCCGTCAGGAGTAGAGGCAGACAGACAGGAGGGTTGGTGAACAGAATAGGAATATAAGGCTTTATGCTCCATTAGTGGCTAGTCTTCTGCCTGGATAAGTGTCCATTGTCAGACTGCCTGCCTCCCTCAGATGAAGATGATTGACTGTACTGTAGAGGTGCTGGTTGCCACGCAACACCCCACACTAGAACAGTCTTACATCATCATCACAGCAGTCCACTCCTTTTGTTGGAGATGTGCTTCTATTAGTGGCAGGCAAATATTTGATGAGGCTACTGTTCACCCTCTTTAGAAGTGTTTGTGTGTACATTGGGGCTGAATGACCTTTCTAATATCTGGAGCAGGCATTATAAAGTAAGACTATTTCTGAACTGGTTTTTCCTGTGTTAATTACAATGTTACTACACAGGTCTAAGAGCAACTGGATGATGTGTTAACCAATAGGGAACTGATAAAGAAACTGGCTTTCTGTAGACAACTTTATTGGAGAACAGTCTGTAACTCACTCCTCGTACCGGTGTTCACTTACTTTATGTAACCACTTAATGATTCATACGTCATAGACATGAGACACCGAGAGATAAAGTGGGTGTATAATCCTACAGGATTTAAATGTATCTGAGAGCAAACCACAGCAGGCTTGGAGGAGGAACAGTACTAGAACACTAACACAATCTATAAAACGGGTCTAGTGACTTACCCTTTGTGACACTGGTGCTTTTAAAACAAACAACTGTGAACTCTGTGCTAATTCCAGACAAAGACATACAGATAACATGTTCTGAATTCTGTCCTTGAGTATGCCTGAACTAAAACATACATATCATGAAATGAATAATAAAAATATGACTTGCGTAACATTATAAACAACAATTTCCTATTTTCTTGCTTCTTTCATTTTATTTCAGTGTTTTTCCCTCATCGGTCTAACTATGACCTATTTAACTGTCCAAATGTTTTTCCATTAGAAACTTTCCATACATAATTAAGAAAAGGAAAGTTGGGCCTTTTCTGGAAGGGGTGTGTGTGTGCGTGCGTGGGTGCGTGTTACCTGCACTCTGCCGAGGGTTTAATAGGAACCTGAAGGCTGACCATCTGGCCTGATTAGAGCCTTTGTTACCATTCCCTGAGACCGCAGGGTTACCTGGATACAGCCTTGGAGGTTTCATTAAGTCTGTGTCCAGGTACTGAAATGATTAGCCACAGCAGACAGGAACAAGGCCAAGTAAGCACAAAGGCTTTTATGAGCTGAGCATTCCATCAGGGTCACAAGGAATCTGCTCTTCCACTGACATACTGCCAGTCAGTGCAGTTTTGGTTAAGAAAACAATAAGAGGGGACATTCACACTTTACTCAGCATCAACACAACTTGATTTAGGTCAACTCAATATAGAGTTAATAAATATACCAAGTCTGTTTGTGTGAGATTGGTTTTAGGACTGTACAATGAAGTCATAGACTGCATTAGAGAGAGTGTTTGTGTGTGTGTGTTTACATGACCCAGAGAGAAAGTTGGGTGTGAGAGTGTGTATTTGTGTTGGCATGAGGAAGAACGACCGAGTGACTGTAGAATGGGATAGAGAGTACGAGAGAGAGGGAGAGTGTTTGTATTGGTAATTGTTTGAAAGCAGGGTGACGTTTGTTTGAAAAGTGGCTGCTGAGTGAATGAGTCATGCTCTGCCAGTGGCCTGTGGCTCTCTCCTTCTGCTGGGGTCAGCCAACAATGACAGGGGCCTCTCTCCTTTGAGCATCCAGCTGCCTGCACAGGGAGAGAGGCAAGCGTTTAACATCTGCCCCCTCCAGTCCCCATGGCCTTCTGATGACCTGTCCTGTCAGTGGACAGGACATCAACATGGGTCAGGGACCGAGGCTGAGGGAGAACATGGTGGAGAGAGAGGGGGTGGGTGGTGGAGGAAGGTTGTGTGGAGGGGTGAAAGGGGCTAGCTGGGATAAAGTGTTGCATGTTAAGTCAATCAATTTTTTCAATCAATTTTATTTTATATAGCCCTTCTTACATCAGCTAATATCTCGAAGCGCTGTACAGAAACCCAGCCTAAAACCCCAAACAGCTAGTAATGCAGGTGTAGAAGCACGGTGGCTAGGAAAAACTCCCTAGAAAGGCAAAACCTAGGAAGAAACCTAGAGAGGAACCAGGCTATGAGGGGTGGCCAGTCCTCTTCTGGCTGTGCCGGGTGGAGATTATAACAGAACCATGCCAAGATGTTCAAAAATGTTCATAAGTGACAAGCATGGTCAAATAATAATCAGGAATAAATCTCAGTTGGCTTTTCATAGCCGATCATTAAGAGTTGAAAACAGCAGGTCTGGGACAGGTAGGGGTTCCATAACCGCAGGCAGAACAGTTGAAACTGGAATAGCAGCAAGGCCAGGCGGACTGGGGACAGCAAGGAGTCACCACGGCCGGTAGTCCCGACGTATGGTCCTAGGGCTCAGGTCTCTCAGTTGGCTTTTCATAGCCGATCATTAAGAGTTGAAAACAGCAGGTCTGGGACAGGTAGGGGTTTCGTAGCTGCAGGCAGAACAGTTGAAACTGGAATAGCAGCAAGGCCAGGCGGACTGGGGACAGCAAGGTGTCATCATGCCCGGTAGTCCTGACGTATGGTCCTAGGGCTCAGGTTCTCAGAGAGAAAGAGAGAACGAGAGAATTAGAGAGAGCATACTTAAATTCACACAGGACACTGGATAAGACAGGAGAAGTACTCCAGGTATAACCAACTAACCCCAGCCCCCCGACACATAAACTACTGCAGCATAAATACTGGAGGCTGAGACAGGAGCGGTCCGGAGACACTGTGGCCCCATCCGAAGAAACCCCCGGACAGGGCCAAACAGGAAGGATATAACCCCACCCACTCCGCCAAAGCACAGCCCCCGCACCACTAGAGGGATATCCCCAACCACCAACTTACAATCCTGAGACAAGGCCGAGTATAGCCCACAGAGGTCTCCACCACAGCACAAACCAAGGGGGGGGGCGCCAACCCAGACAGGAAGATCACGTCAGTAACTCAACCCACTCAAGTGACGCACCCCTCCCAGGGACGGCATGAAAGAGCACCAGCAAGCCAGTGACTCAGCCCCTGCAACAGGGTTAGAGGCAGAGAACCCCAGTGGAGAGGGGAACCGGCCTGGCAGAGACAGCAAGGGCTGTTCGTTGCTCCAGCCTTTCCGTTCACCTTCACACTCCTGGGCCAGACTACACTCAATCATATGACCTACTGAAGAGATAAGTCTTCAGTAAAGACTTAAAGGTTGAGACCGAGTCTGCGTCTCTCACATGGGTAGGCAGACTGTTCCATAAAAATGGAGATCTATAGGAGAAAGCCCTGCCTCCCGCTGTTTGCTTAGAAATTCTAGGGACAATTAGGAGGCCTGCGTCTTGTGACCGTAGCGTACGTATTGGTATGTACGGCAGGACCAACTCGGAAAGATAGGTAGGAGCAAGCCCATGTAACGCTTTATAGGTTAACAGTAAAACCTTGAAATCAGCCCTTGCCTTAACAGGAAGCCAGTGTAGGGAAGCTAGCACTGGAGTAATATGATCAAATTTCTTGGTTCTAGTCAGGATTCTAGCAGCCGTATTTAGCACTAACTGAAGTTTATTTAGTGCTTTATCCGGGTAGCCGGAAAATAGAGCATTGCAGTAGTCTAACCTAGAAGTAACAAATGCATGGATTAATTTTTCTGCATCATTTTTGGACAGAAAATTTCTGATTTTTGCAATGTTACGTAGATGGAAAAAAGCTGTCCTTGAAACAGTCTTGATATGTTCGTCAAAAGAGAGATCAGGGTCAAGAGTAACGCCTAGGTCCTTCACAGTTTTATTTGAGACGACTTTACAACCATCAAGATTAATTGTCAGATTTAACAGAAGATCTCTTTGTTTCTTGGGACCTAGAACAAGCATCTCTGTTTTGTCCGAGTTTAAAAGTAAAAAAAAAAAAGTATATTGCCAGCACTCATACATTATAGTGTGAGTCTTTTGGGGTAATCTTTGGACAGCTGAGGAAGGCAGAGAGGCTTTTTGAGAGATACAGTGGGACGTGTCTGGACTCTGGACAGTCTCTATATTCAGAGTGTTGTTTTGAAAGCTGGCGAATTAGGGAAGTGGGGAAATTATTTACGAGTTCCATAATGTGTTCTAATGGGCCAGCAGGCTAAATGGGGAACAAACAAGGGAGAAGTTTTTCAATGCTGTTACTGTAAGTTGGCGAATTAGGGAAGTGGGGAAATTATTTACGAGTTCCATAATGTGTTCTAATGGGCCAGCAGGCTAAATGGGGAACAAACAAGGGAGAAGTTTTTCAATGCTGTTACTGCTGTTTTCTGCAATTCATTTTGCCATGTCTCCCGCAGCCGACAATGTAGTTGGCAAGGCAGTGGGTTGGCTTTGCTCTGTGCTGCCAAAGGAGATCACCGAAATCTTACCATCAAAAGAAGATTAGAAAAACGGATGATAAAACTGATTAGTGATCAGTATAACAAGGCCATGTAAAAACGTCATGGTTCTTCCACCTTTTCATTTAACACAGTTCATTCAAATCAGCAGATCCTAAAGGAACCATATATTACTTATAAAAACAACATTTTAGCTGCTCAAACATCAAGAGAAACAGTTAGTTATTCAAACCGTATAACTCTATCACGATACGATAATAAAAAGGTGTACTATTCAGACAGTGCCGAGTAAACAACCCGAGCATGTAAATATGGTCCCAATGGATTTCTGGGTGGAGCACTTTTGGCTCTAGGTCTAGGACCTTGAAAAGGCAGCGCGCCGGCGCCGCCGCCCGGTACTAGAGTGCAAATGGGCGTTCCTTCTCCAAGAGAGGGAGAGAGAGCGAGGCTGTTTACGAAGAAAACAGATCTTGCTTCTACAAAAACAAGGGCTGGTCTGCAGAGAGGAGAGCAGTTTGACTGAATTATTCAGCATAGGCTCTTCCACACAAAAGCAGATAGGCTATTTAAATAGCCTATCTATTTCCTTTTGTACACTGATTATTTGTCGTTTTTATTCATCCTGTCAGCTCTACAGAATGTTTTTCTCGCTGCACTTTGTTTTGCTAAGCATGGCTTTAGCGGACAGCACACCCAATGCTGAAGGTAACACGTTACTCTAATTATGACGACTGAAAAGCAATGCCTTTGTTCACGCTAGTCTATTTATTATTAGATAGAATTATGTTTATTTGTTTTTGTTATATACTCAATATATTAATTTTATCAGTTAAGAATTTGAATTGTATACATTATGGCATAGGACCTGAGAAATTGAGTCCAAGAAAATGCAAGTTCTAAAATGTATTTGTTTACAACAAGGAGATTCAAGAATACATTTTTTGTTGATTATTAATATGAATGTATAATTACAGTACGTTCGTGGCAATTCCTTGTTGAATGTATTACTTTTAGATTCTACACTTAAAGTATGTTAATATGTTTTATTTGCTATTAATTTGTCCTCTTTATTTTCAATTCAACGTGTTAATTTTTCCATAAATCAATGTGTACCCAGACTGCATCAAATCCAATGGTGTGGAGTACAGAGGGGAAAAACAGAGCTCCTCCACAGGACTAACCTGTCTAAACTGGACTAACACAACCCGGGACTATGATGTTATGGCATATACAGATTCACAAATGGGTAAATTACATTGTAATTTCATGACACAATCAAACATGTAATATGCCATCAAATTGATAATTCATTGATTTGACACAAGTTCTCATCTGCCACCATTGCTGTGGTCACTAGAAGTGCCCTGGTTTAAATGTCACATTTGTTGTGATGGTAAAAATGTTTGTTTGGTTATAGATGTTCCTGACATGAGTGTATAACTCCAGGCTCTAGTCTCTCTCTGTGTGGGTTATATTAGTAAGGTCAGGGTTGACGTATTTCAATATTGTTGGCAAAATACAGAGCCAGAGCATGCATTTCAGTAGTACAGTATATTTCATGCCCTTTGTGTTCATTATGCAAGCTTTTAATTAATTATACCGTGATTAAGTAAATGATTAATGAAGCTGGTTTTATCCAGACACCAGGACAGACAGACAGAGGGAGAGGGCTTTCTCCACCTGCGAGGCACAGTGAGGATGTTGATGTCCTTTTCTTTATGCTCTGTAGGTGTTGGGGAACATAACTACTGCCGTAACCCAGACTCCTCTGAGAAGCCTTGGTGCTACGTGACTGGCCCAGATGCTGAGACACAGAGACAATCATGTGCCATTGACACCTGCAAAGGTATTTAGCTGCCCAGTCATACAAAGAAGATATCAGTCTAATAGAAATGCATACACTGACAGTACACAGGTCAACGCACTACATTGGGAAAATGTATGTAAAATGCTGTTTAAACATAGCCGTGACGGAGTGAATATATATTATGCACACACATTGAAATGTAGGTCAGGGCTGGGTAAAAACACATTACTGAATGGGGGAAGAAAAGACTGCTTCCTCTGCCCTTCCCTTAATGTTTTCTCAATGCAGTTCTTGCAAAGGGAAGTCACTGTAGTTGAGAAATCTCTAACTTTAAAGAGGTGAAATGTAAATGTTTTTCTGAGGATCTTTCTAACCCTGTGAATATTATTATTAAGGCCAAAGTGCGAAGCTCTGGAAGTGTTGTGGTGGGAATGTCCCCCTCAGAGTTGGCCTTGAGAACCAAGCAAACTATGGGGAGGCATGTGTTTGTTTCTTGGGAACCTAGAATGTATTTCTTCTCATAAGGAAACTAGAGATCTTTAGCTGAAGATTTTTAGACAAGAGATATTTGTAGTTCTTTTTTTTTATTTATGGTTACGCAACAATTTATACACAAACTGCTGCATTCTTTTTTAAATAAGCCTGCTGATTGGGCATATCTGGAGAAGTCTCTTCTCCCATGTGAGAAGCTGTGAGAGAAGAGTTAATCCACTATGAGGCTGTTTCCTGGGGGTTTGACCTTTGCTCTCTCATTGTCTGGGAAGGCAGTGCATGTCAAACAATAACAAGGGCCCTGTCCTTACTGAACCTACAGATGCTACATTTTAAAGAGCCATAACTTGTTAGGCAGGTGGCTGCCTAAGGTTAGGTATACCTCTTACTCAACCCATTGGTGTGAAATCGATAACTTTCCCATGGATACATCAGGCAATTGGCTACTGCTGGCTATGACCTCATGCTCTAACTCCAGCAGAGTTGGTAAACAACTTTTTTGGAGAGCAGATGTTGCCATCCGCAGCTCCAGTTTCCTTTCCCATGAGACCAGGATCACATCACCTGTAGTGCACTTCTGCCCCATTTTGCTGTGAAATGGCTGTTGTTTTTAATTATGTAATTTCTTTATAGAACTGCTTCCAAAGTAAACAAATTAGACTAATCCAGTAGCTCTCCCTGTCCATCTGAGGATAGCCTCTGTGTCAACCAAGTGGAAATTAGTTTCCTCCTCTATTCACGCATTTATTTTATCTCAATGTTTATTCTACAATAAAAGCACGTAAAAAGAGCCTCTTCCGACCAGCCTGGGAAATTTGAATGATTAAACAAGAAATCGAGTTAAAGAATCTAATCAACTATTACTATGTGTCCTCAAGTACAGAAACCCAAATACAACATCAGGAAACACAGAAAGCAAACTAACATGGCGTTTGGTCAGTGTTTGGGGACTTGATGTTGAACTTATTGTCTCCACAGACGAAGCCCCTACAGAGGCAGAAGCATCAGAGGCAGGCCCCCTCACCATAGCACAGACTGAGATCTTTGAGCCGGCCAAGTCTGGGCTTGCCCAGGGAGGGGGTAATGCAGTCCAGCCAGTCATGGGCATCAGCCAGCGGGTACGCACAGGACCCAAGAAGAAGAAGGACCTGGGCACTCTCGGTATGTCCTGATCTCACTGCTGAGGCAGAGGGGTTATAGGGGAAAGGGGGGATGCCATAGGGCCATAACATGTGAGCCTCAAGGGATACTCCTAAAAAGAGTGGGCCAGCTTGATGCAGCTCGGCTTGGTACAATAAGATGGATATAAATGGTAAAATAAATGAGTAATAAAGGATTCAAAATATTCTCAAAGGGATACAATCATTATTTGCCTCACTGCAAGTGAAGTGCACCAATGTGCAAATGTTCAAATACATACCGTATATAAACTTTTGTGAATTCAGTTTGGTAACCATAGTGCCTGTGTGTCATGGTTCTTTCAGGCTATGTGGTTGGTATCCTCATGATGGCCATTATCATCCTCCTCGGGGTGGGCATCACCTTCGGATACTTCTACAAGAGGTCAGTATCAGCCACTATGCTACACTAGGTGCTACAACTGGAGACACAGAACATTACAACCCTAGCTATGTTTTACTACTTTGTTAGGTTGCATCATGTGGTATGTGTGAGTGACATAAGAACTAGAACACGTGTCGTGCACCGCTAGACTAAATGGTGCCTCTCCAGAGAGTAGGAACACAATGTTACATCGATTTGCAACAGATTCTTCTTTCTACTGCAGAGAGAGACAGAAATCAATCAACACCAAAATGCTCCGCTGTAGTGGTGATTCAGAACTCGAATGTAGCGTTGCACAGTCTTGGCACAGCTTAACTTGTTGTGTCCATGATGAAGGGAGCAGCTCTGAGTGCTTGGAACCTCTTAGGCGGAATGTCAGTGAGGTGAGGGAGGGCATGTGTGGGCAGTGGGCACAGAATGTTACCAGGATGTAGAGCGGTGTCGCTCAGAAGTGACGAGACCCACTACCACAAAGACAACAACAACATGAAAACAAGGAACGGAAGGGAAAAACGGGGGAAGAAAATGCCTGCAGCCTGGGTATTTTAGGCACCCACGTTAGACCTGCCCTCAGAGACCAGTGACATCAGTAATGTGATGCTTGCTTAGCCTCCTACATGTATAGTAAACACGCATCATCACATATTGATGGGGAATCGATGCCACCAATGTTATGTGTGTACTTTTAAGAGTAGCTTGAATTAAAATCGGTCAAGGAAATTGATTAGATCAACTTCCAATCATACGTACATACAGAGTTTTAGCCTTTTTCTTTCTCACGCAGTAATATCAGGTTTAGGGAAAAAGTATAGCCACTGAAGCCCAGGCTTGTCGAGTTAATGAGACAAGATTTGGAAGGATGGCCACACAAGAAGAGCCAATGGGTAGAATCAGTGCTGTAGTGGGGCATAGTGGAGCAGAGCAAAGTTGCGTAAAGTGTCGCATAGAAGCAGCGGGCAGGAAGAGGCTCCCGTCCAACAGTATGGCATGTTCCCTGTGCTGGCTGGGGCTCAGCAGATAGCAGACCTCATAACACCCTCAGATTGTGTCCCGAATGGCACCCAATTCCCTACATAGTGCACTACGTTTGACCAGAGCTCTATATAGGGAATAGGGAGCCATTTGGGACAGCCCCAGTCACCTGCCTGGACTGGCTTAGCTCATACTGTAGCTTGCCTGCCACCGCCTACCCCCAGACTCCATCAAAACGTTCCCTTCCCTGTACCAGACCAGATACTGCCTCGAACCGCCCCTGTCATTTCTGCCTCCACAAGATTAATGGACACCGTTAAAAATATCCTCATCCAGTGAAATGAGACTCAGCATGGGACACTGCCTCTCCTTCTTGTCATAAATAGAAATCATGACCCAAGCTGGCTCTCCAAGTGTTTTGAAAGATGATTCAGGTCATAGGTTGCTGAGGGTGCTATGATGAGCCTCTCTTAGTAATAGCCATGTTTTCCTCAAGTTAAAGACATTAGTCCTGCAAACAGTCCTGCAAACTGCAATGTGAAATAGCAACTCTCAACCCCATGTGTGTATAAAATCTGCCCCAACACTATGATCAGTACCACAGTCATCCTAACCTGTTCTGTCTATGTGTTGTTTGCTGCAGGGGTCGGGACCTGAAGAAGCAGCATGAGCAGCGTGTGTATGCGCGGGAGATGCAGAGGATCACCCTGCCCCTGTCGGCCTTCTCCAACCCAACCTGTGAGCTGCTGGATGAAAACACCATCGTCATCACGTCCGAGAAGCAGACCCCCACCCAGGATGGCATGGTAGGGGAGGGGGGAGACCCCCTGATTGACCAGCAGGCTGGTACACCAGGAGCCTGAGCACTGACCACCCCACTGGACTGGGAATGGACCATGATATTCGAACCTCAGAGGACCAAAACACTCCCCTACCCTGACCTCCCTCTGTCCCCAAATCACCCCCCTTTTAAAGGTCTACGAGGAGAAGGGAAAAAATACGAGGAGGACTAATTTCACTCCACGTGGAGACCATCAGGTGAATCTGGTGATGGTTGTGTACAAAAGTGCATATCAGGGATGCTCATTGAGAAATAGTGCATTTGATATCCAAGAAAACATGATCATGGGCTGACTCTGAGTCAGAGTTACTGCTTGGAAAGGGGGACTTCATAGCCTTTTATTTTCTGCTTTCTTTTTCATATTGAGGTGTGGCAGAGTGGTGTTATGGGCTTACCGGAGAAAACAATGCTACTCACGTCCCCTGACCCTTTGGCTGTGCTAGGTCAGTTATGGGAGGGCATCTAGTATACAGTAGACGTATAGGATAGCCCTGTTAGACATCTGTTTTTCTATCTGAAAGACAGTGTTGGGACAGATGTGTGGAGTAATGAATTAGCTTCAGAGAAAATTAATATTAGGTCTAAATCAGATCTGCAAAAGAAAAGGCAACATCTCCCGCTCTCTGAAGCTGTGACGTTGCCTTAGCATGATGCATCTGAATGTATTACATTGTTTCACTGGTGACCTTTCTGTTTAACTAATCTTAAGGCTAGGTGACAGAAGCCAATGTGTAGTAACTGCAAACATCAGACATTTGTTGGCTATACATGCGACAGACTGTATCTCAGGTTAAGGAGTGACAGGAAAAGGGAAACCTCTTGAAATCGAAGAGACCGTTTGTTCTCAGGACAAAAATGCAGCAGAACTGCTGTGAAACAGAATACCGCTCAGTCTGTTGTCTGGCTAGAACCGGACAGAGCCTGTCTGAATGACGCCTGGGCAGAAAATAACAGTCTCGTTAAGGGTTGACTCCTGTGGCATTAGATTGAATTTAGACCATTGAATTACGTGTCCCAAACGTTAGGGCAAGCAGTGGAGCAAAGTAAAAGAGTGTAATGAGGACATATAAGTCCAAACCTTTTGAGGTAACCTAGTTTATTAGATGTACAGGATGGTTTAACTGCTTAATAAGCAGTCTGTCACATTTTGAAATGGGATGCTGAAAGTAATGCCACAGAGTTGGTTAGAAAATGTAACATATCATCTGATTGATTGACTTCAGCACAATCTCTTTTGTTGGGATGAAATGTAATATCTTTCTGCTTTACATGGTTGCTCGATTGTTCTGCTAATGCAACCTTGCATCATTCCAAATTGTATTTTGTGATGAGACTATTCATCTTTCAAATGGTTGAAAATCATTGGTTACTTCTCAATCATTGTGGTTCCTTAAATTTTGGTGCACTGTTGTTTTGTAAATATAGTTTTTCTTCATTTTTGCAATGCATCAAATACTGTTGCTCCTCAATGGAGATTAGTACTTGTATTTGAATGTTTGGCAGATTTTTACTGCTGCGACTGAAATAAAACGGATTTTGAAAAAGATGAACTGCGTCCTCATTCCTCACCCTTATAAAGGGGCAATATACAATTTACGGGCCAATTGAAACTAAGATTGGCCACTAGATTATAGCCAGCTGTTCTCTCCTTAAACCTTCAATATGCTCTAAAATCCCCCACACTGCTGATCTCAATTGCAACCATCATCCACCACCGATTGACCACTTCATAATGCGAATGTCGGCGTTATCTTGTCCTGATTGCAACCAACATTTTCCAAGTCGATTTCGCCCTCTGGTGGATATTATCATCAGAACAATTTGATATTGCCATTTTAACTGACTAAGTGCTATTTGTCTATTTGACAATCATTCTGTACACTGAAATAAAGTATTTAATTTCCTTGTTTACAACAGCAAATCTTCTATAGCAATGTGGCCTACCCTACACATTTTATGAATGGAAAAGTCATGGTGTAGGATTCATTTTTCGTTTCCAATTTATGCAATCCATTAATGGTAATTTCTTATCAAGAAGGGAAAAGCAAGGAAATATTCCTGAACTGTAGGCTACACATGACACCAAATCGTGGTTTTGTTGTATTTGGAATCACATTATATTGTATTCTAATATTGTGCGGATAGTAGAGATTATTTATTTAGGCTATTTGTAGAACAATGTGATAACACTCAATAGTGAACCTTTATAATTTTGTTTAGGGCTACTGTGCGAAATAATAATTAGGCCAGTAGGCCTACTGTAGCATATTGTAGCCTACTTCATTGAAGAAGCAATGTCTGAATTGTGGTAGGGAGAGTAATTTCTTATTATTTGGAAGTCGTTATCCAAAGAAACAGATGCAAGAAAATTATGCAATCCATATCACTTTCATTTACAATGTAATATATTAAAACTTGGTTTTCAATAACTTTATTTTCGCAGTCATAATCATCGTAATTGACATAGGCTACATTTCCAGTCTAATAATATTATTTCAGTTGTAATTTCTTGTAACGCCAGGGTAGTGGGTTTGATCCCCGGGACCACCCATACGTAAAAATGTATACACACATGTAAGTCGCTTTGGATAAAAGCGTCTGCTAAATGGCACATTATTATTATTATTATTATTATTATTAATATGTCACATTCTTCCATGTATCTTTTTCATTTCGATTTTGTTGTTCCTGATATACTACATGAACAAAAGTATGTGGACACCTGCTCGTCAAACATCTCATTCCAAAATTATGGGCATTAATATGGAGTTGGTCCCCCTTTGCTGCTATAACAGCCTCCACTCTTCTGGGAAGGCATTCCACTAGATGTTGGAACATTGCTGCAGGGACTTGCTTCCATTCAGCCACAAGAGCATTAGTGAGGTCGGGCACTGATGTTGGGCGATTAGGCCTGGCTCGCAGTCGGCATTCCAATTCATCCCAAAGTGTTCGATGGGGTTGAGGTCAGGGCTCTGTGCAGGCCAGTCAAGTTCGTCCACACCGATCTCGACAAACCATTTCTGTGTGGACCTTGCTTTATGCACAGGAAACAGGAAAGGGCCTTCCCTAAACTGTTGCCACAAAGTTGGAAGCACAGAATTGTCTAGAATGTCATTGTATGCTGTAGTATTAAGATTTCCCTTCACTGGAACTAAGGGGGCCTAACCCGAACCATGAAAAACAGCCCCAGACCATTATTCCTCCTTCACCAAACTTTACACTTGGCACTATACATTAGGACAAACCCAGATTCGTCCGTTGGACTGCCAGATGGTGAAGCGTGATTCATCACTACAGAGAACGCGTTTCCACTGCTCCAGAGTCCAATGGAGGCGAGCTTTACACCACTCCAGCCGACGCTTGGCATTGCGCATGGTGATCTTAGGCTTGTGTGCGGCTGCTGGCCATGGAAACCCATTTTATGAAGCTCCCGACGAACAGTTGTTGTGCTGACGTTGCTTCCAGAGCCAGTTTGAAACTCTGTAGTGAGTGTTGCAACCGAGGACAAGACGATTTTTACGCGCTATGTGCTTCAGCACTCGGCGGTCCCGTTCTGTGAGCTTGTGTGGCCTATCACTTCGCGGCTGAATCGTTGTTGCTCCTAGACGTTTCCACTTCACAATAACAGCACTTAAAGTTGACCGGGTCTGCTCTAGCAGGGCAGAAATTTGACGAACTGACTTGTTGGAACGGTGGCATCCTATGACGGTGCCACATTGAAAGTCACTGAGCTCTTCAGTAAGGCCATTCTACTGCCAATGTTTGTCTATGGAGATTGCATGTCTGTGTGCTCGATTTTATACACCTGTCAGCAACAGGTGTGGGTGAAATAGCCAAATACACTAATTTGAAGGGGTGTCCACATACTTTTGTATATATAGTGTAGGATGTTTCTTAATTGGGGCGGGAATACTGAAGGCAGACAATGACCATTTCCGGTGTCAGTAGGGGGATACCAAAGAGGAAGAGGAAGAGCGGGCCCCAACTCGGCGGAAAATCTATCTCCCTCCAGCAGGTGGCGTTTTTTCCTTGTTTCGCCCACCAAGCAAGGAGTTTTTGTATGGAGGTCAATGAGTGTCGAATTTGGTCAACAAAAAAAGTAATGGCTTATTTGCAACGTGAGGTTCATTTGATCAAATTTCGTAATTTCAAGTTTCGTAATGCTTAAGTTGTGTACTGATATAAGTAGGACACGTGACATCCCGGCAAATTTGAGGTTAAACACTTTATATCAGAGTTGTCTCATGCATATTCATAGTATGTGGCTTGTAGATGGTGGTCCTCTGTAGTTCAGCTGGTAGAGCACGGCGCTTGTAACGCCAAGGTAGTGTGTTCGATCCCCGGGACCACCCATACACAAAAATGTATGCACGCATGACTGTAAGTCGCTTTGGATAAAAGCGTCTGCTAAATGGCATATTATTATTAGATAGCAGATAGAACAATGAAACAGATATTTCCCCGGATGTATAAATGTGAAGCATCCGGTTGGCGTTTCCACTCACTACCAAATATGGTGGTGAGAGGAAGCCCAGTGGCCGGCAGTGGGAGAAGATGGAGCGAGATGGATTTTGGCTGACATTCTGCTAATCTTCTCATCGATGAAACATTTGATTTCAATACAGTTTTCTGTTTCCAAAACTACAATCTGTTAAGTTTTGTAGACTTTACCCTTTGCCAAAGTTTCTAAAAAATTGCGTTGTTTAGAAGGAGTGCAAGGGCGAATTGAGTTATTGGAACAAGCGCACTTCAGAGTAGGCGTTCCCTAACATTTAATGCAAAAACACGCGCTAGCTCGTGCTTTGCTCTGCCCACCTCCTCCACTGTTATGACAAGGTGTAGATACTCATAGTAATTTGCTCCCATTGCAAACGACAGGCTGTTGTCTATCTTGGGTTAGTTATACAAATCTTTGGCATCTCTCTCCATTGAATACAGGCGGTTGACGTCAACAACTCTCATCGAATATTTAAACAAGGATTACAATAATGAGATGTATCCACTAACACAAAGAAAGTATATGCGGGAGCTAACGCAGCAGGTTAGGTTAATTAATGTAACTGGTTAGGAAAATTAGGTTAGAGGTAGGAAAGGGTTAGCGACAATGCTACAGTTGTCAACAACTGTTGTCCCCGACGCGACCACTAGATGGAGCGGTAGGCCTACTCTATATCGCCACAACGGTAGAAATATAAACAAACCATCTATGGAGACAAATCATTAGTATCATAACACCGGTTTTACACAATGGGTAACTGCATACGTAGATTGTCTGAAAGTGGGCGTTGCGAAATAAGTGAGGGTATTGAAACATAACAGCTGAGCTAATTGGGTAGATTGGTTGCCACTCAAGAACGTTTTGTTTGGCTGCTTCCTTAAATCACCTCCAAGCAGGGCAATGTGTCATTGAGTTCAACACTCCTACCACAGATCCTCTGCAGATGAACTAATTACTCCTACTGTATTCTTCTTCAAAGTTATGGCAAACTACACCTATTGGTGTATTGCCGCCACCTACTGTACGGGTTCTTCTTTGATCAGCATATCAATTTCCCTTAACTGTTGAACAACACTTTAAATCTCCACAGTCTGCGGAGCATCCACAGCCATACCTTCAGCTCCTTCAACTATTTCACGTGCCTATGTGTAGGAGACCTACTGAATAGCCCTGACCCTTGCCACTTCATACTCCTTTACCTTAACCGGGAACTCCAGGGAATTGGGAACGTGGTTGCCATCGCAATTACAACATTGTACATTCCTTCGGCACACAGTTGATACATGTCCATATCTTTCGCAAAACAACGGCTTGGACTCCTACTGTATTGTAGACCACTCCTCTGCAGATGAACTAATTGCTCCAAATTAGTCTAGGTCACGCCCCTTCCCACACCTGTTATCACTCCCAAATCACCTTTCTTCAGCCTTTTTCTTACTCCTCACCTTGCCATTTAACCACCCTATCCACTCCTGCATATCTGTTGCCACAGGTGGTATATTTGCTTTCTGGGTGAAATAATCAGTAAGCGCTTTATTTGAGTGTTTATACTGTATGTAAGTGCTATTGCTAAATATGTATTACACTGGCAATTGCTTTAGTCTGTATCTTTTTGATGGTATTCATGCTCTGTGTGCGCCATGTGTTCACTTAGGTCTAGTTAATGTTTAGCAGTTTTCTGTTGACCACAGTTAAGCCCATTTTTCTCCTGTTTATTCACCCATCACTACTTGTTCATGCACTTATGTTGATTTTTGCCCCTGATGTATCTTCTCTTCCTCCTAGACCACCACATCCTTCCTAACACTACTTACCGGCCTTACAAGCCAAAAGAATCCAAGGCCGGCTAGTGTGAAGGTCATGGCACCCCTACAGGCCTACAATTACCCTAAGCCATGCCCCTTCCCTCCACCTGTTCGCTCTCCCTTAATCACCTCTCCTCTGCCTTTTCACCCCTTTCAGTTCCCTATTTAAGCAACATGCTCCTTTCGACACACTAGAATAGTTTGCTTGGTGATGCCACAGGGTGGCCCTTACTCCTTCCATTGTATG